CACCAACTGCTGGAGTCGCAGCGCCTTGGCATTTTGGGCTTTGGCCTCTCCTGGCTGCTTGGTGCACAAGTCCCAGGATGCAGCAGCTGCAGCTGCAGCAGCAGGCAAGGGGTCTAGCCTGAGTTGCGACAGGGACTCAGCAGTAGTTCTGTGAAATCGCGTGCCAGATGCAGCAGCTTCAAGTGCAGACGCAGCGACTTCAACAGCAGCTGGCTGGGTGTTGCTCTCAGTGGTCTCAACTTTCGATTGCAAGCCATGTTTCTACAAAATGGGCTTTGATCTGGGCAATGGATTGAGGCAGCAGACCACCGGCGTTTCACAGCCATCCGACGAAGATGCACTTCTTTCCCAGATTCCCTTCAATGATGAAGGCAAGGAGACGGAACCTGTCACGACGGTGACTGACCTTGCCCGCTCAACTCGCGACAGGTGAGCGTGCTTCCCTTGGAAGCAGGTTACATCCAGACAACTGCAATCCTTGCATTTTCTGGTTCAAGGATAAGGCGAGGCAATTACACAGTAAATTCGAGTCAGGATCATGCTACATGCAAAGACTCCTGTGGGCAGACCTTCTGCAACAAGGGCATTATGTGTGACTTTTGCCACTTCCGGCACCCAGGCTCGTCCATGCATGGTACATTCTCTGTCGGAAACGGTGGTCTTGCTGTTTTATGCAAGGCCAGAAGAACAAAAGGATCCGCCCCTCGAAGAATACCCGCTTGCAGCGCCCTGGAAGCAGATGATGGGTATGTCTTGCCATGTCCTCCCTGCTTCGTCCCCACTGGACCGTCAAAGTGCCTCCGACCAATCGCTACTTGTAGCCTTTTTCCATCTTTCATACGCTGGCTGGAAATACCTCTGGCCATTGTCTGCAGTTAAGGATGCGGGCTGCTCAAGCCGCCCGAGGGGGGGCAGAGATCTCTGGCCTAGCATGAGTAGGTGCGGCGGCAGATGGCCAGCGTCCGGGAATTGCAGTGCTATGCATGTCTAGGCCCCTGCTTGCCAGGTTAAATTGAAATGAGAGGCGATGCAACATTCTTGAGCTTTTTTCTAACGGAGGTGGCGAAGAGCTGGCAGCGAGCAAGCTTCTCCTGCCTCCTTTATTCTTAAGTTCAGAAGATGAGGGTGTGTCTGGCATGATCATGCCTGCCCCTCAACCAGATCCGCAGTAATTTGTCCGGCCCAGACAGACGCTTGGCGAAGCATGAGATGACACCTCGGAGTCAAGATTCTCCCTGTGTGTAGCTCTTTCCCGTGACACCTAGGAGCTGTCTGGGCCCCTTTTGGCGTTTTCAAGCTCCATTCCGACTGGTGCACAATGCGCATCACCGCACTACTGCGTGCTCGGTGTACATGAATGTGTTTGCCAGGCACGGTCTGCTTCTTTCGCGGAGGCAGCTTCCCCAGCCTCACTACAGAACTAGTGACCGCTGGCGTTCTCCACTGCCATTGTGCATCGCGGTTTCCCTGTGGTGAAGAGGATCAGTTCTTCTAGGAGTGTAGGCCAGGATCCTCGTGGCCTCGTGTGTCTGCCACAATGACATGGAGCTCCTCCGGCTCGGACCCTTGCAACCAAAAGCTTGTGAAGGCAGCCGGAGGTAGTTTCACTCTGCAAGCCTTGTGGCTAGTCAGCGGCTAGTCGGCCATCCCCTAGCAGCCATTTCTGAGACTTGCAAGTTGTAGGCTGGGGCATGAGAGACTTCGGGTACACAATGGCTGCTTGGGAATATCAGTAGCGACTTCACGGTTTCTGTGCATTTTCCATGAGATAGGCGCAGGAGATATGGGACAAAAGCAAGGACGTCCCAGTTGTGTGATGCCACCCCGAACTAAACCCTAAGCCTTAAACAAACTCCAAAACCCTAAGCCCTAAGCCCTAAGCCCTAAACCCTAAACCCTAAACCCTAAACCCTAAACCCTAACCCCTAAACCCCAAAACCCTGAGTCTCTGCTTTGCTTCAGCTTTGCTTCGCTCTCCTTTCTGGGGCCCAAGGGCCTTGAGCCCAAGATCCGCAGATCGTGCGGCCCCCCCCCGGTTTAGGGTTTAGGGTTTAGGGTTTAGGGTTTAGGGTTTAGGGCCCGGGGGGTCGTGCGCGATGAAGCTCAGCCCTCAGAGGGCTTGGGCCAGGGCTCACTTTGAGGGTCTCTTTGCTCTATTTTGTTCTATGCTCTTTGGGTTCTCAGAGATCTTTTCAGGGACCTTGCAGGCGAGGCCTAAAGAGAAGAGCTTTTTTGACTTGGAGCCGATTGTGCCGCAGGTTCTCTGCGTGGCTCTGCCTAGCTCTGCTGCGAGGAGGCAGAAAAAGGACTGCAGGGGTTTGGGGGGAGTTGAAAGCTCTGTGAGTTGAAAGGGTATGCTGGTGTACTCCGACGGCCAGCTCTTCCAGGCAAGGGACTCGGCCTCCGTCGATCTGAGCTTCGCTGAAGTCCATCCTTTCGTGCAAACAGGACACGAATCACCAAGCACTTTGGACATGTTGGTTGGTCCTTTCATTCGGAAAGCGTCGAAGGTGCTGAGATGCCGTGGATTGGTGAACAAATGCTGAAAGCGGCCGAGCAGCATGCTTCCTTGGCTTGCTTGCAGGGAGGGAAGGGTGCGGCAAGCTATCGTGTCTAGGGCACTTTGTGGGTGTTTGTCCTGAGATTCAGGTCTTGCTTCGCAACTTCGGGTGGAGCACGATGATCACTCACGGGGGTAGGCGTGTGTCGAGCCCCCGGCAGGTAAATGTTGCCAGACTCGCGGAACAAAGTTCCAAGTCAAGCCACGATGCCAGGAGCTGAACTGTTACCAGATCTGAACATCGGTCTAACAGCATGAGCTGAGAGGAATGCGCTGGTCACCTTTTCGGGGCATTTGCCTGCGCTCAAAGTCCTTTTATTCGTCGAGTCGAGCGCCCAGGCCATGCTCTCGGCCCAGCAGCAGCTCGCAGCTGAGGCAAGACAGCGTTTTTTTGGGAATTTCGGCCACCAAATTCCCAAACATCGCTTCAAAGTCCTAGCTTCCGGGGCTTTCGTACAGCGAAAGCCCATGGCCAGGACGCGGCAGTGCAGAGCGCCGACTTCTTGGCAAAGCAGCCGGATGCGGAAACTGCCATTCAGAAGGCCTCTCGGGAGTGGGGGGCTGATGACAGAAAGCCGCCGTGAACTCGTTTTCGAAGGTCCTGAACCCTAGACGATCCTAAGCCAGTCATGTCAGGAGCTCCACAAGGCACGAGAATGGGCTGCGCAGGCCTGCGGCTGAGGTAGTTGGGCAAAGGCCGAAGCAGTGGCAATCCGAGGCCCAGGCTTACTCGAAGCACGCTCAGCAGACGGCTGCAGAGTTGAGGCCAGGGCTCACAGTCATGAGCATCCCTTTCAAAGTACTCGTAGTGTGCTGTCCGTGTCTTCAGTCAGGAAGCTGCCGCAGGAGGCGGCTGCCTCCGTTGGCAAAGCCGTCGAGGAGGAGGCGGTAATGCCGGGCTTCGGGCGTGGCGAAAGCATGCACTGGGGCTCAGGTCCAGAAGGAAGCCTACATGGCCGCAGAAAGCACGCTCCTCATTCCGAGCAGCCCTGGGAAGCCTCTCCTGTTCCAACGCTGTTCTGATTGCTACTTGGGGATTTCCCAAAATAGGGGACCCTAATATAATACCCTAAATTAATAGGATCCTTATTATAAGGACCCCAAAATAAGGTACTCTAATTTTCGGAAACTCCCGCTTCAACTCCTCCCAGACCAACTGTGCTTAGAAGATAGTGCAGGTCTTGCCTCGCCCAGAGTAGGCCTGAGACTGCCCAGGAAGAGCTGCAGGGCCAGTGGAGTCGGAGCAGGCGCGGAGGGCTGCGGTTAATGAGGCCTTCTCCCTGGAAGGAAGAGGGGTGGGTATCATTATCTTGCTCATGATGTGAGCAGAACTGGAACTTCGGGGTGGATCTGTTCGGATGAAGGCACAAGCTGAGCGCCTGGCTGCAGAGCAAGCAGCTGCTGCCGCAACATGGCAAAGATAGGCCTTCGGGTGTCGCTGTCGTGTTTGTTTGGGTTCGGCTCTATTTTGGTCAGTCATGGAAGCACAAGTTGCAGATTGTAAGCCAAGGAGCCCTACAAGCAAGGTGGGGAGCAGCTCAAGGATCTTGGGGTATGGCGTGTTCTTTGAGTCTTCGCCTCGCGCCAGCCGTCGAGCGAGCTCAGCAGAATGTGCAGCTGTCACTTGCGCACTCTCAGCCACGAGCTCAGCAGGGCTCTCGCGGCGGTGTTTCCTTCTGAGCCCCGTGAGACTTCAGGGCGGCCGCGAATGCCGTCGACCGACTTGCCGAGGAGTCGCAGGCAGAGGGGTCCCCACTAAAACGTGAAAGAGATCTTCTCTGCTTCCGCTATCCGAATCGCAGGCCATGGCGCGTAAAGCGCAGGCCTTGCAGGCGGATGGGAGTGTCTTGTGCCTGTCCGATGTTCGGAGAGATTGGCCGCCGGAAGGATGAAGGGGCCGCCCTGCCAGCACAGCAGGCAATGCTGAAGGCACACCAGCGCATGAAGCAGGCCGACTGGGAAGGTGACCGGGGAAGGTGCTTCAAGTCGGGATCGAGTTGCTTGCAGGCTCCTGTCAGAGTCAGAGGGATGGGCTTCCCATGGCTGTTGCTGTGTCACTGCTGTGTATGGCTCGAGTCTTGGAGTTTTCCCGTGGTTTGAAAAGCTCCCCAGCAGCACACCAGGGGCCAGACACAGATGCTTCGGCGGATTCTGACCTGCAGTGTCCCCGAGGTTCTTGCGATGCGGTGACGGTGTGTGACGAGTCTCTAGCCAGATGCCGGGAGCCCAGGCTTCAAGGCACCCCTGACCGCGAAAGCGTAAGGGCCCGCCCCAGCCGCCGTGGCCTTCTTCCCCTGCAAGCCCTAGCCCTGTCCCCAAGTGGGGGTTTCCGAAAATAGGGGACCCTAAAATAGTACCCCAAATAATAGGATCCTTAATATAAGGACCCCAAAGTAAGGTACCCCTTACTTTCCGAACCTCCCAAATACCTGTTGAGGATATGCAGCCGTCACAGTCGGAGGAGGCCTCCGAAGCTTCCGATGAGGAGGAGAGCACCTGGAAGTGGTCCGAGCTCTCGCCGTGGCTTTGCTAGGACTCTGAGTTTCGGGCTTTTGTGAACACAACTTGTGAACAAAAGGGGGATCTAGGGTTTAGGGCTTTTCGGGATAGAGGGGGGCTTAGGGCTTCTTCCGGGGCTCTTAGTGTTTATGGGGTTTTCGGGGGAGTTTAGTTTTTTTTTGGGGGGGGGATTGGAGTTGGGGCTTTGTAGGGAAGTTTTTCAGGTTTAGATAGTGTTTCGGGTTTGGGGCCCTCTGCTGCAAAACCCTGCTCAATCCCTGAAATTACCGTCACCCCGCTAAACTCACAACCCCTCCAACACGCAAATGCTTTGCCGCGGGTCTCAAACTCTAAGCCCTTGCCACTCTCTGAACCCTTGCCACCCCCCTAAACCCGAAGCCTAATCCCCGAAACCCAAACCCCTAAACCCCTAAACCCGAAGCCTACACCCTGAACCCGAAACCCCTACGCCCGGAACCCTAACCGAGGGTGGTGCTGACATCCGCGCTGCCGGAGGGCGTGCCTTCTCCTGAGCTTTGCACCCGACTGCGCTGGGTCCGGCTCTTCTGGTGGCTGGCGCTGCCTCTCGCCGGAGACAACATCGACTCTGTATGGACAGGGGTGGCCCGAAACCCTTAACAAAAAAAACTCTAAACCCTAAACCCTAAAACCCTAAACCCCGGGTTGTCGGGCTTTAGGCTTTTGGGGGGTTCTGTTTGGTTTGGTTCGCGCAGCGGCGAGGTTGGTCTTCTACGCTTCTGTGCTGCTTCTGGCATCCACGGACAGGCTTTTCGGCCGCAAGAGGAACGTGCGACACCCTGGCACCATCAAAATCCGTGCAAACCCTACACTCCGCACATGACCCTGAGCCCCAAACACAGTTCTCTCGCAGCGCTTCCCTGTTCTTAGGGAGCTCTCCAGCGCTCTGCGACAAGAGGCGGTGGAGGAGCTCTTCCCAGATGCTCGGCAGCACGACTTGCAGCGAGTAGGCCTGCATAGATAGGGCGAAAAAACTGTAGCACATAAGCCTAGACGCTCAACCATCTAAACTAAGCCCGAAAGCCCTTGTAAGCCCTCAGACCCTCAGGCAAGCCTGAACGAGCCAAGAGTCCTGCTCCAAAAGGCCGAAAACAATCGCCCAACAGCCCCGAGGCTTGTGATTCCAAATCCCGCAGGCCCAAGAATCCCAAAGTCATGTCTATTCCTGAAGCCGTAAAGGACTGGAACAAAGCCGCTGAGCGGATGAAGGAGGGTATGAAGACGCCCGAGCTCAAGGAGTGCGCTAATGCTCTGTCATCTGTGCATATCTGTGCATCGGAGTGGGTAGGGTTCTGACAGGGTTTGCAGGGCCATGACGGGGTTTTTGGGGTTGGGGATTACTACAGTTCACTGCAGGGTTCGGGCGCAGCATGGCGCGGCGGCTCAGAAGCTTCCGAAAGGCTATACTTGGCTCCTTAGAGAGGCCGTCCTTCTCAGCCCGGTCTGGCCCATGGCCCAGCTCGGGGGCTCGGATCTGGCGAGCTCCAGCCGAGAGTATGTGCGGCTCCTGACGAAGCCGCTGGTGACGTCCAGCATGTTCGGCTGCCAGCACGAGGATTGGGCCTTGGCTTTTGCGCGATGGAACGTGGCGTACGTGTGGGCGCTCATTCTGGTCCACCTCTTGTTCTGGCTACTGCAGGGGATCGGGCAGCTTCTGACACTGCGTCTGGTATCCCTCACAATTGGCCTGATCTTCACTTTGCTGGACTTTCTCTTCTGTGTGGTCGTCAACTGGTGTTCTTGGTATTGTGTGGTGAAGAGGCTTGGCTTCTGCGGCCGCGTCGGGTACCTGTGCTGGGCACTGCTGTACGCTTGCTTGAACGTCGGGAGGCTCGGGGCTGTTACCAGGGACGTATCCTACTGGCTCCTTGATGCATTCGGGTTCCGTGATTCTTCGTTTGTGTGTTTCTTTCAGCTGGCTCGGAACTCAGAGCCAGCTTTGAGAACAGACCCCTCGACTTAGGATCTACATTCTTATGCTCGTCCCGGCGGCCTACATGATTGTCGCACTCATCCAACTCTTCCGCGGGGTCGGGGGGCGAGGCCCCTTACTTTCCGGTGCGGCGTGATCGCTTCGAGATGGGGGCACTGTGCAAGGTCCTCCGCAGAGATCACTCCTAGTCATGCTTGTGAAACAGTCTCCTTTTTCAGTGAGACGCTGAAGACGCCTTGAACCGATCCGAAGGACACCACAATAGTTTGCTGCTTTGCTGAGATGCGCGGATGTCGAAAATCCCTGCGCTGTTTGCTCTTCCGTCTGTCCATCTCATCTGCCAGTCCTGGCACGAAGCGAGGAGCTGTTGCACGTTGACGATGTGGCCTCGACACTCACCATCTTCAACGACCGCTGCCGGGATCAGGCCCCTGAAACTTGCAGCCCAGAGCAAAGTATTCGCTGTGCAACTTGTCGCGCATCCCTGCAGTCCTTCGTCAGCACCTCCATGAAGGCCCGGCTGCTCCCACTACGCGGCTTCCTTTTCAGTCGTATAGCCTCGGACAATCTCGGACATCTAGTTGCAGGCTGTGTGGGAGTGCAAGCTCTTCGACGTCGTGGTGAACCGGCTCTCAGGCTTGGACGTGCTTGGACCGCCACAGGAGGAGGGGCACTTCAACTCTCATGCCAAGGTGCAGAGTGGGACCCGGCTGATCCCTGCCTGCAAGAAGGGGACTCCATGGAAGGGCGCTTCCGTGCATCATCGCTTTCCACCCCCTTCATTCTCGTCCGTTTTGTTTTGGCGCGTCACTCACCCGGTTGGCATGCGAGTGGAGTCAGCTTTTGCGAAGCTGAGATGAACCGAAACCTTCCGGACACTGACTCCGACAACGTCTTCGGAACCGGCAAGAAAGGCCAGGATGGATTCGGAGAGCAACAGAAAGTGGGCCGCTCTGACACTAGAGAGCGAGTGTCCGGGCTTGGAGCAGCGAGGTAGCAGGTAGCCAGCACCGCACACTTAACATAGCATCATCTCATCCCTCCCATCCGTTCCTCCAGCCGTTCACGGCATCTACTCCCTCCACTCCCTCCCTCCATCCCTCCAATCCTCCCCCCCCCGTCCCTCCCCATCCCTCCCCATCCCTCCCTCCCT